AGCTCATTTTTGTTTCCGTTTACGAAGATTCCACAGGGTATCGTGAAGTTCTTTCGAAGCGAGTCTTACCATTTTTTCAACAAGGATCCCCTCTATCCTTGATTTTCACACACGATAACGCGGCTGTCCATGCCGGTCCCTCCGCGCCAGATGGAATTGCAGGAAAAAATGTGGCAGTTATCTGGTGGCCACCATGTTATCTGAATTAGATTCCAATAGAGAATCATTGGGCCTTAATTGTTATAAAGTTCCACAGCAAAGTAAAGCAAAATGGAACAGCCGAAAAGCTGAAAAGGTCGATCATCGGCGCCCAGACGAATTTCGATCCTACTGTAATAGCTAATTTGGCTACCAGCATTTCAAAACGTATTATTGTGTTCCTTATGATTATTGGGGGGTCATCCCATTATTGAAAATTCGTGACGTTTTTTCGTTATAGTAAAATCTCTCGACAAGTGATGTGTAGTCATATTTGCGAAACGGTGAAAATACGTTCTAAGGAAGATATTTTAATAATTCTGAATCGAGATTTCTCCAGAAATCAAGTATCAAGGTTTTTCGTTATGGGGAAACTATTGGTAATAGCGGCATTTTCCAAAAATGCACAGCAACTTTGGAATAGCAAAAAATTAGGGTGGACCTATATTTATGAAACGCAGTGTATAGTATGTACTGTGCATGTGTCTCTCGAATAGCCATTCAATTCAACTCCGATTGTAAAAGCTGGATTGAGAGCTTAGCTTTTCTTTTGAAAATAAGTATCGTAACCCTATGCACAGTTTGCATTGTGGATTAAAGGCAAAGTCCAGGATCAAACTGATGTGTTATTACTCTATTACTTTCAAGTGACAGTGGAGATGCAGAGGGTAATGCCAGTAATGAAACGGCAAGAAACCGCCGACAACGGCAAAAATAAAGGGCGGAGCCAATGATGCATCCTAGCACCTTGGCGCGTCGGCCTTGCATCCCTACCAGGGTCAAGCGAACCGTCGAGGAAAATTTGGAAATACGCCCCCCTCCCTCCCCAGAGGCCGAAGTCCATGAAACGACCCTCTTCAAAAGCCGAACTATGAATTCTCCCCAAAACTGTTCATAAAAAAGCCCTGCTACCCCACCGTCCACCAAAAAATTCGTTTAAGAAGTACAAAAGTGAAAAAGTCAAAGAATGATCATTATTGATGAGTCCTACCAAACGAGCAAACGAGAAAAGGAGCAAAAAACGACAAACTAGTCACTAAAAATGGCATACTATGACAACATCTCTTCTTTATTTATTTCCTTCGGAAGACTTACCATATTTTACAGTGCGTTTCATAACTATAAGGTCACCCTAAAATATTGCATTTCCGGGACCAGCAGCCAACTGGTGATTTTTCCACTATCACCAAATGATTCCCCACTACGAATAACCCCTGTATCGCAATTTTGGTGGGAGCAGCTTTTCTTCGAACTTTTTTGTAATTATTTTTCGATTTTTGCACCGTTTCATAATATAAGGTCACCCTGAGAAAAAGAACAATTACCTAAGATTAATGACAGATAAAATAGACATAATAATGTATGGTTCCTCCTTTATCAAGGGCAACATTGAATAGTCTCCGTGGCCTACCGGAATTGAGATTCCAAGGCAGATCACCATCGATTCACTTCCGTGTTCAAGGGTTGCTTGTACACGCTCTTGTGTAATTTTTAACTGGCGTTTATCCGCACTATTACTCATGACGAAGATGCCCCTGAGATGTTCTACTAGAACACGACTAGAAATTCAGAAAAATTTGTTCAGTTCATCAGGGTTTCGAGAGAAATGCTGCTTCTGGTTGAATGTACTGTATGACCACGTAGGCTAGCCGACTTCATCAGCTCAAGGAAGAGGTCAAATGTCCTCGCAAGGCTCTATGCTAATCTTTGGAGTCCATTATGCAGTTTATGGAAGCGAAATTTTGACACAACATCATCACAAAAAGCACCCACACCTTTCACATTTCCTTAACTAAAATTGCAAGCGCTGAAGTGAATCGGCCACCTTCGCAAGTCACTTCAAAAGTTTATATTCGCAGGATCTGTTTGTATAAACCAGTTTTGTCCAAAAAATACCAACTTTACTGGAATTATCTTGCTATATGGTGCGACTGTGGAGCAGACTCAACCTTGTTCAAACTCTCTTCAAGTTCAACTTTACGGGTTGAAGTTGTGCCACTTTGCAATGGCCACTGAGCCTTCGGACCATCTTTGTTGCTTTCCTGGTAATGTTGTTGCATAATTTCACCGCACTCCAGTTCATATTTTTCAAGATAGAAACCTTAAATCAGGCACGACGCCGATTTGAAGCGGAAATACTGCACGGGACAGCCCTCATAACTCTTCTCTAATCATTTATAGAAACCATTTTGTGGATGTTCTGATATTGTAGAATATCTGGAGACGTAGGAGCTTTTCAATTATCCATGAGCAGTGCTAATGACTGTCCGAAGTTCTTTGGAAAGACTCGCGAACCGTGCCAAGCACCATGAAATGCATAAACTTTA